TTCCCTGAATTAGGGAATCTCAACACCCCTTCTTCCTATATAGGAAGGGACTGGGTGTAGGGCTTGGAGATTTGGGTCAAGATTAGGACCAAATGTTAGGTCTAAATTAGGATTTGAAGTTGGAAATCTAGGGGAGGATTAGAGATTGGGCATACTGATTAGCAGGTTGGAAATTTAGACTTATTGAGGTTAGAGATTAGTCCCAAGTCTAGAGGTATCTGGTGGTCTGCTGGAGGTTTGAGAATCTCGCTGAAGTTAGTTTGAAGATTAGAGTTAGGGATATGTTTATAGGGTTTGGGCTAGGGTATGCAGGGTTGGGTCTAAGAGCAGAGCTGAAATAGGAGGGAAGGAACCTCAGAAACTACCCCCCTTTCTTAGATCTGGTTAGGTTTTGTTGATATGGTCTTGGGTGGTCTAGAGGTGTTAGGGTTAAAGCTGGAACCAAGGCTGGGCATGTTTTCTAGCCTAGCTAAATGAGTGTCTAACTCTATTGGCATCATGATCGTATTAAGGTTTTCACTGAGTTTAATAGTAGGTTAACTGAATTAGGGTTAGAGTGGAAAAAGATGTAGTTTGGGTCACCTAAGGGGGAACCACGGGACAGAGATGGGATGTTAGTCCTTAAGAAAGGGTGGAAACAAGCTCTGATCTTCCCTCTCTCTTATCCCTCCCTGTCCTGGATCTATCACACCTCCCAGAATGAGAAGTTACAAGAGGAGAATGATGGTGAGCTAACCTGCCTCTCCTCTGAGACCCCAATCTTACCCCACCCCTTTTTTTTAAACCACCTTTGCTTGGAGAAGTTTCAAGTGAGTTGACCTCCCACCACCAGGACACTTAACAGCTAGTCAGCAGACCTCATTTCTAGCCTCTCATTCCATGTGACCTTGAACTAATAATCCTTTTTCTCTTTCTTAAGTTTTCAGTTCCCCTGAAGCACTGAATGTCAAGGCCTCTCCTGGTTCTGACATTCAGTGTTCTATGATATTCTAAAGTCACTCCCAGCCCTGACATTCATTCTGTTTTATGTTCAAAGACTTTGGTTCTAAGGTTTTAAGATTCACCCTCTAAGAGTCTAGGATTTTTATACAGTTAAAGTACAGTATAGTGGGAGAGGGGGTTGCAGGAACTGGGCAGGGGGTGGGGTGCAGTTGGTAGCTAGTACAGTCTCCAGCTCTCTAATATGATTCTCTTCTCATCTGCCCCTGCACCTAATCTCAGTCCTGAGATCCACTGAAGAGCTACTGCTCAGGTGAGCAACTCACAAACACAAGCACAAGCCTAGCCCCAAGCACTCCTAGGGAGAAGACTTCGGATAGAGAACAGGGGAGGAGGGTGGCTGTACAAAGGGAAGGGGTTGGAGAAGGAGGCCTTGTGCATCATTCCCCTGCGATTCCCAACGGCCTGCTTCTTAGGGGCGTGATGAGTTTTAGAGGGGGGCGGGACGCAAAGGGCATCCAACTCGGATTGGGACATAAGGAGGAAGTCCTTGAGGCCTGCCCTCTTTCCCCACCACATCCCGAAGGCAGAGCAGAGCTGGGAGGGTTCAGATGAGGAAGAGCCCGGGGTGGGGGTGGGGGTGGGGGTGGGGGGGTGGGGGGCCGCGGCGGCAGGCCAGGAGAGGAAGATGTTGAACTGGAGAGAGAAAGGAGGAGAAAAGATTGGGGGGCTGGGCGGGAGGAGAAGGGTGTGTCTGAGGCCTCCGGCCCCTCTCCCACCTGCTCCCACAGAGACAATGACAAGATAAAAAAGAAAATACTGAAGCTTAAGGAACGCCACGAATCTCTGGTGAGGAAGAAGGAGGGAGGAGGACGGAGACCAAGCAGAGGAAGGGCCTGGCAGGGAGGGGGCGTGTCATGCAAATGAGGGAGGCGGGCGGCAGGGCTAGCGGGCGGAGCCTGAGGGCGAAGGGCGGGGCGTAGGGAGAACCCGAAGCCACACGTCGGGGGAGCAAGAGGGGACCTTTGGGGACAGGTGTCAAAGGGGAGCTTGGAGGCGAAGGGGACAAGGGAAGATGGAGGGGCCCCTAAGCCTCCGTTTCTCCCTCTGTCCGCAGCAAGACGATATCTACACGCTGGAGGAACGTCTGTGTGAGTGTGTGTGTGGTTGGGAGGGAAGGCTGGGGGGGCAGGATGTTAGGGGGTGTCTCCGCCCCTCCTCGTAACTCCATCTTTCCCTCCCTCCCCCAACAAAAGGTTCTTGCACCTGCCCTGAGAACCGATCGAACCACGAACACAAAGAGAGCAAAAGGTGTGGCCGCTGGCCCCGGTCTTCAAGGAAAGGAGAGAGGGCAGGCGGCTGGCGGGGGTATGGGGCGGGCGGTGGGGAGGAGCCTCGGTGGGACCGGAGGTGGGGGCCTGAGTGTGACATCTCCCCCCTCCCTTTTTCCTCTCTCCCACCTGGGGCTTCCCCTTCAGGGCTGCGAACACAGGGCGACGGCTCCCGTGAGTACCCGAGGCCGGATGCACCACCCCGTCCCCCCACGGAAACAAACCCCCTCTGGGGTTCAATAAACTTCTCTCCGGGGCTGGGAACCCCTCTGATTCCCAAATGTTTGCTTCCTGGGGCGTGAAGAGTTTTCGAGTGGGGAGGGGTGCGGGACAGGGGACGAGGGGCATCCAACTTGGGTTGGGACCTGAAGGGGGAAGACAGCAGGAGACACAGGAGGCGGGGTCCAGGAGAGGAGGGGGCGTTCTAAGGGCGTGCCCTAGAGGAGAGGGAAGCCCAGGATTGGAAGTGTAAGAGCAGGGGCGGGGTCCATTAAGAAGAGGTGTGGTTCGCCCGGCGGGACATTCGAGGAGAGAGAATGGGCGAGGGGCTCGAACTGGAGAAGCTGGGTACCTTAGGTGCACTGGGGCGGAGGCCAGACTGACTGAGCAGAAGCAGGAACTGGGCGAGGGGACCAGGAAGGAAGGCGGGGGTCTGGCTTGGGGCTGGAGGCGGGAGCGGTGACAGTTAACCAGGGCCTGGGACGGGAAGACTCCAAATGTAGCTAGCAGGCCCATCACCCTACGTCTACTCCCACCCCAATTCCAAGAAGCATCCACTAGCCTCAACCCGACCAGCTTCCGTCACAGAGCACTCAGCAAAGAAGCCGGCAATGGCCAGTGTTACTGCACTGTCGTCCCTTCCTCTGGCTCTGTCCCTTAGGCTCCTGTCTCTGTTTCTCCATCCTTCACCGTCACTACCTTCATTCCTGTCATTCAGTTTCCTGGTGAGGTGGCAGGTTCTCTGAACTGGATAGGAGTTCTGTCCCTGGCTGCCTGTGATAACCTTGGGCCAACCTCTTTCCCTCTCTGGGCTTTAACTTGTCCCTCCTCAAGAGGAGGGGGTTCCTGCCGCACCTCCGTTAGAGACTTGATGAGATTAGATGTGTATGCGGGGGGGGGGGGGGGGGGCAGTATCCGCTGTCCAAATAGAACATTTTGGGGAGGAGGGGTAAAGGGAGTCGGGGAATGAAGGCAGGAAGTGATTCCAGAAGGTGGATGTGGGTCTTTGGCCAGAAGTCGGAGGTTCTCAGGTTCAGATACCGTGTGTGTTAGATTCAGTGTTACAGGCTTAGGTCAAAGAATGTAGTGTGGATGTCAGAGTCCAGCTCGCCCCTTCATTTTACGGATGGGCAAACAAATCCAGGGTGGGGTGCCTGAGGGAAAAAGGGCAGGGATGGCCAGGGCCAGGTGGTTTGAAAACTCAAGGGTGCATGGACATAGAGCTAACCCTCCTTTTGTCTCCCTCAGCTTCGACCCTTCCAGAGAAAATTTTTGCCACAATTTCTCTCCTTTCTCTGCCTATATGTATGTTGGTTTTCCCCCATTGTTCTTCTTTGTCCTCATTTTAGGGTCATAGGATTTAGACCATCAGGTCGTCCAGTTCCTCTAGGAATCTAGCTACATTTCTGTCCGTATGTCTTATTTCTCCACCTTTTTCCATTAGTCTAAACCTCTCTCCATCCAGTTCAATCCAATCATCATGAATTAAATTTAAGGCAATGGAGAGAGCCAAAATAAATAGTCCTTGCCCTCAAGTAGCTTACATTTTTTTCCATCTTCACTGTTATCTACGTCTTTCTCTCCATCTCTGTCTTTCCCCTTCAGCTTCTTTCCATCTCTAACCTTATTTCTCTTCTTTATTTGTCTTTTTCTCTCCATCTCTATTTCTTTTTCTATAACTCCATCTTTCAAACTAGTACCTCTGGTGTGAGGACTTGCTGAGCCCTTTTTAGGGCTCCTCAGATATCCACCTTTGGTGTCTACCTGTCACCCAACTCTCACTTTCGGCTCTAAAAAGTATCTGAAGTGACCACACCCATAAGACCATCTTAATAGACTGGCTAGAGCAGATTGAGGGTAACCAAGGGATCTCAAACCCTTTGGTGAGTTAGGGAGATGTCTACCCCAAGCACTTGAAGACTTCCTCTGGCATTATGGGTGGATTAGAACAATTTGTTACTGCAGCCAAGAGGCAGCTGAAGCAGGTGCTTAGAGCTTTGTCAGGCATCAGAGTCACCAAGGTTATCCACTGAATCTGGAATGATTACCAGTCCTGACTTTTGTCCTGCCACTGGACTTAGATGACTCAGGAAGAGACAGTGAGGGTGAGACTTTGTGCAGCACTTAAATCCAATTCATGAAGGAGTCAAGACATCACTCCCGGGATGTCATTGGTCTTCTTCAAAAATGAAGGATGAACATCTTTCAGACTGCTGTGTCTCTTTTCTCTCCCTAAGACCACATATTTAGAGCTAGAAAAACCTTATAGACCATCCCAACCAAATTCCTCGCTTTACAAACATGCCTAAAGAAGCGATTTGTCTTGCTTTGGTCTTTTCATCTCTGTATATCTATCACCTTCCAGCCCTTTCTTGTCTCCATGTCTTTTTTTTTTTCTTACTCCAAGACATTTTTCTCTGAATTTTTCACCTTCTGTATTTTGGTCCCTTTGTAAAATAAACCTAAACCTAAGTTAGGTTTTCCTGTTTCTTCCTCTATGTTGACTTGATCTCTCTCTCTCCATTTCCATGCCTATCTCCTCTCTTTCTGTTCTGACTTCAGTTTCCTCTCCAGGCTTTTTTCTCTGGCTTGATCTCTTTCTTTCCTCCCTGTTTGCTCTTGGGGCTTCACATCAGCCATCTTGGAAGATGGGGGCTGTTTTTCCTTTTCTTTTTACCCTCGGTCCTAAACTCATTCACAAATGCTTGTGGACTAGCTGATGGACTTTTCCTCCAGGTAAAACTCAGAGTTGGATGATTGAGTACAGCTCAGGATTGCCTGTACTGGGGCCTGAAGATTCAGAACCAGGGCACCTGGAGCCCGAGACTGAACCCCAAGATAGACCGAAGTCCAGTATTTCTGTCTTTGAGCACACTGTGCCAATAGCAATCCCATCTTCTGGGTTCACCAGCTTGCCCAAGCAGAGATTAACTGACCTAGGGCTGTCCAGCTGAGGGAAAAGGAAGGACCTGGAGCTAGGGGGTTGGGGGGCAGCCTCTTTCATGCCTGACACCAAAGAAGACTGAAACTGACATAGGTGGGAAGGACTCAAAAGGGAGGCACCCCCCCAGCCCTGCTATTACTGCTTTTGATTGGCTTACAGTTAGGGTTAAGCTTAGGAGGGAGTCAGGTTCAAGTAAACAAAACTGGTAAATTTCCCATCAGTTTCATGTCCTTGTTTTCTTCTTCAAAGGTGTGTTTATGTGGGGAGCAAAGGGGATGAGGAGGGGGAGTCCCCAGGCTGATTCTGCCTCAATTCTTCTCTAGTAGGAAAAGAGGGGGGAGGGGAAGACAGTGAACCCCACCCCCCACCTACATACAGTTTTTCTAATTCTCGCCATAACTTCCCACCCACCTATAATGAAAGGAAATCCCTGAATCATAGACAAAAGAATTGTAGAATCAGTCAACTCAGGGCACAGAACAACAGTAGAATCCCTCATACGACAGAATTAGCAGAATCATTGCTGTGTGGCTTCAGGACAGACCTTGTCCCTCTCTGGGACTGTTTTTCCTTCTTGTAAAATAAGAGAGATCTCCACTGGTTTCACCTTTCCATGGTTCAGTGAGCTTGTCCCACACAGTAAGAGCACTGGCCACTCCCTCTGTGACCCTGGACAAGCCCTTTCCCCCACTCTGGGACTCATCCCCCTCCAGCTCCAGTATTCTGTGTTATGAGGACCCTTATCATACTGGCATTCCAAAAGACTGTGAGTTTAGTGCAACCCTCTGATGTCACAGGAAAGGCATCCCAAGCCCAGAGAGGGCAAGTGATTTGGCCAAGGTCACACAGCAAACTGGTTGTGGACCAGGAACTGAAACTCAGGCTCTCTCCATCTCACCGGGTTTTCCTCCCTGCTGGGTCCCAGTGGGGGGTAGGGGTGGGGGCAGAGGAAGAGAGTGGGCCCTTTAAATTGGAAGCTCCACCTTTGCCTTCAGAGGTCTCCAGCCACCCTATGAAAGGCATCCCCCCTACCCTGCTGCGAGCTCCACACTACTCCAGACAGCAACGACCCTTCCGCCCCCGCCCCTCCACCCCCTCAGCAGCCTGCATACCACATCAGGCGCCCATGAAGCTGGCGGCCCCTTTCGATATGTGGAAAGACTATTTGAATCTGAACAAGATCTTATGGGAGGTGATCTCGGGCCAAGGGGGTTCTGGGGATGGGGAGAAGTCTAACCAGGAGGCCGAGGTGGAGACCGAGGCCGGGCAGGTGAGGCAGGCGGCAGCTGGGAGGCCAGGGGCCCCTACACCCCTCTGCAACTTCTGCAAACACAATGGGGAGTCCCGACATGTGTACACCTCACACCTGCTGAAGACTCCGGAGGGTGTGGTCGTCTGTCCCATCCTTCGCCATTACGTCTGCCCACTGTGTGGAGCCACAGGGGGCCTGGCCCACACCCTCAAGTACTGCCCCCTCAATGGTGGCCAGCAGTCCCTGTACCGACGGAGTGGACGAAACTCAGCCGGGAGAAAGGTCAAGCGGTGAGGAAGAATCTGGGCCTCCTCTCCTGGAGCCCTCCAGGCCTTCCCTGGGCCTTGCCCCATCCCAGGGATTTCTCTCTCCCTGGGGCTTACCCCACTCCTGCTTCTCCCAAGCTCAGGGAATCCTCAGCCCCTGAGACCTCCCCATTCCAAGTTGACCGTATCCCAGGGATTTCTCAGCCCCTGGCCATCCCCAATTCCCCAGGGGCTGGTCCCCTCTTCTCTCTCCAAGACCTTCCCTAGACTCATTCTAGCTTAGGGAGTTCTGAGTCCCTGAAACCCCACCCCCTTTCCCAGTTCAATCCATCCCAGTGAATCTTCAGTCCTGGGACTCCCCCATTCCTGGATAACCCTGGCCCAGCCCCGCCCCCATCACACCCAGCTAATCCCACCCCCAGGATTTCTCAGCTTCTGGAATCCTCCACTCCCACCTTGTCTCAGCCCTGGGAAACCCTCACCCCTGAATTTCCCCAACCCTTTCTCCGTACACCTGCCAACCTACAACTTCCCTGGACATTGGGGAGTTCCCGAGAAGCCAAAGACCTCCAAGTGTGGCGCATTCATGAGACCAACGCTGTACCAGCTTCTGTCTCTGCCTCCCTACACAACTCTGCCTCGGACATTTCCTTTGACTATTGTCTCAGCCTTGAAGTTGGAGCCCCTCTGCAGACATCAGCACCCCAGGATTCAGCACATCCCCTTGAAGATTACCAGATGCTGCCTGTCATGCTGGGGTCCTCACATAACACCTTTGAGTCCCTTTGAGGGGGTGACCAGCTCCTGGACATGATGCTGGGGGGGGGGGGCTCCCTGAATCCTTCCCCAGCTCACATTGATCCAGCTCCAGAAGAATATCTTGGGCTGGGGCTGGGGGGAAGAGACAAACTTTCTTATACTGTTCTCATGCGCTTGTTTCTGATTACAGTTGTTGGGTCCTGCAGCCCTACCTGTCTATACCCCGTATCTGGGCCCCAGACCACTCAGTGGGCAGTTCTATCCCCCCCACCCCCAAAAGCCCCTCTCATTGCCCAAGTAGCCTCATGGCTGGAGGGGAGTGTGAACTAGTTTTCTGAAGCCTACAAGGAAGAAGGTCTGATCAATGTAACTGGGGTGGGAATGAGGGGGGCTGCAGAGGATTGGAAGTTCTTTGATCTTGTTTTTTAGGGGTTGGGGGGAGGAAGCTAAAATTAGCATATTTCATGTTAGCTTTTGTTCAGAGCTAGAATAAAGGACCAGAATTCTTGAACTTTCTTTTCACTGTGTTTTTCTGGAGGGGCTGATCTTCCACTAGAACCAGGGTCACCCCAAGTCACCCCAATCTGTTCTTCCTCCTCAGTGACTTTTGCCCCCATCTTCACCCAAATCCCAGTCTCTTCATCTTGGGTCTCCATTTTTCCATAGTCAGCACAGGCTCCCAAGCCCCAGACTTCTTTCTCTACAACTCAGCTTGGACCCCATCCCTCAGGGACCTTCCCTGGCTCCCCGAATCTCAGAGTTGAAAGGCTGCTATAGTAACCATCTAGGGGAGGTTCCCCATCCCTGCTGTAGGGTCATGTGTCCCAGGTAAAGAATTCCCACTACAACATATCAGATGGTCACTAAGCTCTTGCTTGAGGACTTCAGGGAGAGGCTGCTTGTCTAGCTACGGTTAAATGTGAACATTGGGAGGTACTTATGGCCATCAAACCACAATCTGCTTCCCTGACAAGTCCAGCCATTATTCCTGGTTTTCTGCCCCTCTCCAGGGCATAGATGTATATATAGGTTGTAGGAACTCACCACGTTTAAGCCCCACAAAAGAAGATTTGGGGGGATGTGGTAACTGAGAGATTTGACTAATTCATTCGGTCCACCCCAGGGTGGGGCAGAGAAAACCAGGAGCATTCAGGGTGAACAGTGCAAAGGGGCAAACTAAGGCTTGATGGAAGGACAGCTTCCTAACGATGACAGCTGCCTCCAAGTGGATTGGTTTGCCCCAAGAAGCCATGAGTTTTCCTTTCTCGGGAAGGCTTCAAGCACAGCCTAAAGGAGCCTTTGTTGGGTATACTATACAATTCTTCTAGGGGAAAAGCTCTCCAGCTTTTGGACTTAGAACCCCTTTACACTCTTAAAAAAATTATTGAGGGTCTGCCTCAAAGAATCTTTGATTATGAGGGTTATATCTATAGAGGTTGTAAGGTGTCTTGGTATTATTATTTTTATTTATTTATTTTGGTGAGGCAATTGGGCTTAAGTGACTTGTCCAGGGTTACACAAGTGTCTGAGGTCGGATTTGAACTCAGGTCCTCCTGACTCCAAGGCCAGAGCTTTATCCACTGTGCCATCTAGCTGCCCCAGGTCTTGGTATTATTGTGAAAATTGTTTTAACCTCATGGATGCCTTGAAAGAGTCTCTCGGACTCTCCAGGCGACCCTCTGAGAGCAGCGGCTTTGGGTATTGCCTGGACCAGATGGCGGCTCAGGTGCCTTCCAATTCTGCGTTTCTGTGATTTTCAGGCTAGTTAGATGGTCCTTCAGATACTTCAAAGACAGCCCTCATATCCCCTGGTCCTCTCTTCTCCAGAGCCCTAGGATTCCACTGACATACTTAACCACCCTTATTCTATCGGCTTGCCCAAAGACAGGCATACTGCTCACTGATCAGATTCACAGATCCCACAGCTGGAAAGGATCCAAGGGCATCCAGCCAATCCCACAACTGAACAAGACCCCCTCCTAATAATAATGGCTGACATTTAAGGTTTACAAAGCACTTTCCATGTATAATTCTCATTTGAGGCTCATAATAGCCCTGCAAAGTAGGTGCTATTTTTATGTCTATTTTACAGATGAGAAAACTGAGGCAGTCAACAAGCATCTATTTTTAAAATATGTTTTTATTCATTTCATTAAATACTTCCTAATTACATTAAAAATTGTTTTAACATTCATTTTTTGAAATTTAAGTCCCAAGTTATTTCCCTCTCTCCTAGCCCTCTCCCACTCCTTGAGAAAGCAAGTAATATGATATCAATTATATATGTGAAGTCATCAAAATGTGTTTCCATGGTTTTATTCATAGATATACAGAAGAAAAGCTCTGATTATGCCCATATGCTTTGTCATAATATAAACACATCTAGACTGGGGCAGCTAGGCGGTGCAGTGATAGAGCTCCTGCCTTGCAGTCAGGAGTACCTGAGTTCAAATTTGACCTCAGACACTCGACACTTACTAGCTAGCTGTGTGGCCTTGGGCAAGTCATTTAACCCTAGTTTAAAAAAAAAAAAAGATAAAAGAAAAGAACAAAATGTGTTTCCATGTTAGCCCTGTTGCAAAAGAAAACACACACCAAAGAAAACAAAAAAAAAAGTGAAAGTCAAAAAGCATTTATTAAGAACCTACCATGTGCCAGGCACTATGCTAAGCACCAAGGATACAAAAAAAGGAGTTCACAGTTTAATGAAGGAGACAACATGAAAACAACTAGGTACAATGAGCTATAGACAGGATAAATTGGAAAAAATCAAAGAGGGAAGGCATCAGCATTATGGGAGAATGGGTGAGAAGGTGGGATTTTGGCCAAGACCTGCAGGAAGCTGGAAGGTGGAGATGAGGAGGGAGGGAGTTTCTAGCACAGGGGGACAGCCAGGGAAAATGCACACTGGGTATATCATACTCAAGGAGCATAAGGAGGCCAATTGCATTGCATCTCAGAGTGGTGAAGCAGGGCAGGTTTTGAAAGTCAGATTTCATCTTGAATTCTGGAGGTGACGGGGAACCACCGGAGTTTTTCAAATGGGGTGGGGTTGACACAATTGGACCTGCACTTTAGGAAGCCAAGTAGAGGCTAGACTAGAATGGGGAGACTTGAGGCAGGGTGACCCCCACAATGGCTCTTGCGATAATCCAGGCATGAGGTGACGAGGGTCTACAGCAGGGAGCTAGCAATGTCAGAAGAGAGAAGGCAGTGTACTCAGGAGCTGTCACAAAGGCAGAATTGACACACTGGATATGGGGGAGGGAGCAGTCAAAGAGTGAGGAGTCCACGGTGATTCCTAAAGGTGAAGTGACTTGTCCAAGGTCACACAACTAATAAGTCAGTGTCTAAGGCAGGATTCTAACTCAAAAGTCTTCCTGATTCCAGGTCCAGTGCTGTATCTACGACAACCCCTTGCCACACAGACAGTTTTTGCTTGGAGATTTCAGGGAACACATTGCATTTGCTACCATTCAAAGGGACTTCTATGAATGAGGAAGAGAGAGTGAGACCAATGACTTAACGCAGCTCTGCCTCACTTATTCACATGCAAGTCAAGACATCACCCGGGATGTCCTGTTCCTCTTCGAAAACAAAGGACAAATGACAACAACAAATTTCATCTTATTAAATTTGGCCAAAGGGATCACAGATCTATCTTCCAGCCCATGAACTTTCCCTCCTAACTTTGTGTCCAGTGCATATTGGGCACTGCTGGTCCAATGCCACCCTCCCAGGCTTTCAGAGCCCGCTCACTGTCATCCTCTCAAGGAATGTCTTTTTTTAATTAATTTATTTTGATTAATCAACAATCACTTCCATAAGCTTTTGAGTTTTAAATTTTTCTCCCCCTTCCTTCCCGCTTCTCTCCCCAAAATGGTGTGCAACCTGACATAAACTTCACATAAATAAGGAATGTCATTCTTAAACCCATGTGCATACACATAACCCACCTCTTCCAGGAAACTCTCTTTTTTTAAATTTAGTATTTAATTTTTCCCCAGTTTCATGTAAAAACAATTTTTCACATTCATTTTTAAAACTTTGAATTCCAAATTCTCTCCCTTCCTCCCTCCCCACTGAGAAGGTAACCAATTTGATATAGATTTTACATGTGTAATCATGCAAAACATATCCATAATAGTTATGTTGTGAAAGAAAACAGACAAAAAAACTCAAGAAAAACAAAGCAAAAAAGTATACTTCAATCTGTATTCAGACACCATCAGTTCTTTCTCTGGGGATGGATAGCATTGGATAGTTGCATTGCTGAGAATAGCTAAGTCATTCACAGCTGATCATGTTGCAATATTGCTGTTCCTTTGTACACAGTACATATCACTTAGCATCAGCCCATACAAGTCTTTCCAGGTTTTTCTGAGAGCATCCTGCTCATCATTTCTTATAGCACAATAGTATTCCATCATAACTACATACCACAACTTGTTCAGCCATTCCCCAATTGATGGGCATCCCCTTAATTTCTAATTCTTTACCCCCAGAAAAGAGCTGCTGTAAATATTTTTGTGCATAATAGGTCCTTTTCCTTTTGTTTTTTTTTTTATCTCTTTTGAGATACAGACTTAGTAGTGGTATTGCTAGGGCAAAGGGTATGCATGGTTTTGTAGCCCTTTGAGCATAGTTCCAAATTGCCCTACAGAATGGTTGAATCAGTTCACAACTCCACCAACAGTGCATTAGTATCTCATTTTTCCCACATCCCCTCCGTTTGTCATTTACCTTTTCTGTCCTATTAGCCAATCTAATAGGTATGAGGTAGTACCTCAGAATTGTTTTAATTTGCATTTCTCCAATCAATAGTGAGTTGGAGTATTTTTATATGGCTTATAGATAGCTTTGATTACTTCATCTGAAAACTGATCATGTCTTTTGATCAATTATCAATTGGGGAATGGCTCTTATTTTTATAAATTTGACTCAGTTCTCTATATGTTTGAGAAATACGACCTTTATCAGAGAAACTTGCTTCAAATTTTTTTCAACACTTATTATTTCTAACTGTATTTCCCTCCATTCCATCCCCCCCCCACGTTTATCAGGAAGCCCTCTGACTAAGATGACCTCTGACCTTTTCCCAGTCGACATTTCACACATTTATTGGTCCCCTCGATAGTCATGAAAGACAGTGTGGCAGAATGGTTACAGATTGGACCTCAGAGCTCCAAAGACCTGACTGCAAAGCCTGCCTCAATCACATATTGGCTGTGTGTCCCTGGGCTAAGTATTGAGCATCTCAGGGTTCAAAGCAGCTCTCTAAGAGTGTAATTTGCAAAAAGGCGCCAACCTGCATAGTTTCCTCATGAGGGAGTGCCTTCTACTAATGACATCACAGTCCCCATCCCTGTCCCTGTCTCCTCTCACTTGGCACA